CCCCCCCCCCCCCCCCCCCCAGGTTCTGGAGAAAGACATCTTGCGCAGCCGGCGGCAATGCACCCAAAAGGACATCCCAAAGCCCTGAAACAATCCTTCGGACGTTCACAGACCAGAAAAGCTGCTCGAGCCTCTCGAGCTTCCTGGAGAACTGCTTGACTTTCTTCTGGCCCAAGGTCCGCATCCCAGCCAGAGGGCAGCGACTTGTCCTGAAGAGAGCTGAGGGCTGCCAAGTGCATGTACGGTCTGGATCGGCAAGCACTTTAGCATACAGTACAGGTACTACAGTTACTACAGTGTAGTGAATCTTTAGAGCCCTCCTGCGACACGTCTCCGAACGACATTCCTAGATCCCAAACACACGCGACTCGCACGTACCTGCTTACTTGCATGCTTGTTTGTTTGTAAGCATCCGTGTCTATGTCTCCGTATATGCAGATGGACGCGCAAGTGTGCGTAGCTCCTAGGAAGGCACGGACATCCGGATACGGCACGGAATGCGAGGCATCTGGACCCGTCTGTCCCTGAACCATAATGTAGCTCAGATCCACGAAGCCTCAAAAAAGCTCCAATGTGATGACATAAAGTGACTAAAGTCTAAAGATCTCCAGGCCTCGGTGGGAGCGCTTCCTTCGACCTGGCAGTTTGGAAAAAAATGGAAAAAGCGGCAAGGCGGCCACTGAAGTCCCCAGGCAGAAGGGGCAGAAGGCCTCCGATGCGCCGAGCTGGGACCACTCCTGCGGTTCTCAGCTCGGTCGTACCATTTTCATTGATGAAAAGGTCGGGGGGTGTAGCCAGCAAGGTGTTTGTTTGTTGATTCTTGTCATTATTGTTCTCGGGCATTGACACCAGTTACCTACAAGTATGGTGGGTGTTGTCCTTGTGGCGCTCGCGACGTTGCTGATCCAATACTTGACTGCTCGACGCCTCCAAGACCTACTGCAGCAGCGTCATTGTCTTCTTAATGTGCACCAACAGCAGATGGTAGCCGAAGGACCGTACCAATAACTGCGAACGATGACCCCCATGACAGCGAAGAAACGGCCTTTTGTTGCTAGCGGTATTGCAAGAGCACATGCGTTAGTGTCGCGGATATACTTGCTGTCGCTGTGCTACTGCTGCTGTCACGGCCTGCTGTTGTTGGCTGTTGTAAATGCTGCTGTATTCTGTTCAAGCTTTGCTTCAGTGTTGTCGCTGCGAACACCCCACCCACTGCCACCATCAACACTCATCCTCAGCCCCGCCTCCTCCTCCAGGTAGCCCTTGCTTTGTACATCGAGGATGTCCCAGAGGTCCTTGGCCGCACCCTCGTATGCCTCGGATCGAACTTCGGGAGACCTAATGCCAAGTATATAGAAACCGTCCGTGATTTCTTGTACAATGGCAGAACTTGCGATGCTGCTGATGCTGATGTTCAAGACGACAAAGGCAAGGAACAGAAGACTATCATATTGATATGATGGGAATGTCGGTGCTGCTGCCGGTGATAATGTGCGTCGGGCTGCGTCGGGGGATGATGCCGACTGCATGTAAATGTTCGTTGTTGTTATTGAAGATACTAATGATGTTGCGGCTGATGTTCATGGTGGTGCTGCTGATTATGCTTGCCTTGTTGATGATAGTGCTTGTTTGCCTTTGTTGTGATTCGTGCTTGTGGTGGTGGTCGTGAATGGCGAGATATCGTTGATTCACGACGAAAAGACTATGGTGCGGAAATGTCGGAAAAGCCACATGAGCATTGCGGAACAGCAGTACTTTGATATGTGCTGTTTACTCAGGTGCAGATGTCGTACCTGATGTTTGGGGCAACTGTATCTCAAGGTCGTTGAAAGCAAACAGGTAGTGACTGCACAGCTTCAATCACCAAGCCAAGCAGGGCACAAGGTCATTGGCCACAACTTGCGCGAAGTTGTCGAAGGAGATCACCCCACTGGCCAAGCAAAGCTTGAAGGAGTTGCCGAGATTTCTGGTGCGAGTATGAGTAATCTATGACTGAACATCAACAATCAGGTTTAGTGGCGCATTCTTTGGCTTGCCGGTGCTGCTGCTTCGGCTCGCTGTGATCAGGGCTCAGAGGCAGCTATCCTGCTCCTCATTCTCGGCTCTCACCAAATGCGACCAACCGAAAAACATGTCTGTTTCATACCCGTTAACGCATATATTCATCACATGCCATGGTATTGGTGATAAGAAGATCTTCTAGCACAAAACAGAGGACATTCGCATCACAACTCGGGCCTGCCCTCCACATCAAAGTGGGCGAAGGCTTCCTGTAGACCTTCCGCAGCTTGGGCATTGAATCTAGGCTTCAGGCTTCTTTTTTGTTGTTGCGTTTAGGCTCGAACAACGATCATCCAGATCTTTCAAAAATACTGAACATGCAAACGTTGCTCCGACCTCACGAATTCAACTATCTCCACACAAAGCTTCCGATGTAAGCCGGCCACTGACGCCCCAGGTGTTCAAAACCAGCTGGGAGAAGGCCGTCAGGATCCCCTGACAGGTTCGAACTGTATGAAATCTCTGCCGTTTAGTTGTCATGCTGCCACGGCGTGTTGCAGATATCAAGGGTGGAGCATGCTAGGGCGAAGTTCAGGCGAACGGATGTTCGAGCTGCAGGCGAACAAGCTCAGAATGCAAACCACAAGTCGACTGAGACAAAGGTAAGCAGTAAGCACCTCGAACCAGCTTCGGAAGAGCATCTATCTTCGAGTAGATGAGTAGAGACCGTGCCAAATGCAACGACAGTCAGGCAGCAGAACCTGACGTGCAAAGTCCCTCATCTCATGACACCATTTCAGCCTTGGCATGCCCAGGTCATGCTGTGTGCATGTGCGCAGCGGCCTGGTTGCCCCTTCGCTCCTTCCGCTGTGACGCGATGCATCGAGCCTACAAAGTGTTTGGGTTGTCGCTGCTTGCTAGACTCTGGCAGCTCCGAGAATTCTCGTGCGTAAGAGGCACCAGCAGGCGACAATAGCAAGAGATGTCACACTGTGAGTTCTGTGTGAAGATGTATCACCCAGCGCTTCGAAACTGGAACCATGCAGCTACCCGCTCCAATTTGGACTGAGGATTCGGCTTTCCGATACTCCTGCGTACAGAGGAAAAGAAACCGGTCCCAGTCTATTGGGTCCGCACCATCACCTGCCAGGGAAGCCGTGAAGCGGGCACGGGGCGGACTGCAACTTGCCATGGAAGACAAAACTGAGTCAAGCATGCCGGTTCGAACTATACCTATAGGTGCTACTCATGCATCCGCTTCGACACTGCCGATTTCTTTGACTGGACTTGAGAACTGTCGAAAATTCTTGAATGCCTATCTCAGCCGTCTGAAAATGCGCTGCCTGACTCCTGCTTCACTCGGGCACAGATGGTGGCCTTCGGCTTGGTCATGCTTGGTCACACCAAGAACATCTTGAAAGGACCGGAATGTTTATAGATTCTAGATGCTACTCGTGTCCGGCGCAATTACCACAGTTTCCTGCATCATCGACATTGACATGAACCCACGTGTCAGCGTGTCATCCAGCACGACACCCTTTTTTCTGGAGCAAGTCAGAATCCGTCCAGGCCGGTCACACGCACAGTGTGGCAAATTTATGAACTGAAGCTGTTGGAAAAGAATTGAAGTTGTGGGACTTGGGGGAACGCCATTGAAGACTCCTCCACCTAGCGGCTTCAGTCTATGTGCCAGGAAACGGCCTTCAGGGAGTCGGGGGCTTCCTTGTCGATGCCCTCACGCACGGCCGCCAGGGCCTACATGGAGAGTGCAGTTGCGCGGGTCTCAGAACCTCAGGAGCTTGGATCGTCCATTGATGCCGCCGGAAGGCGAATTGAAGAGTGAGTGTGTCTCCAAGACGGTTTACATTCGCGGCACGATAAGCATAGTGTTTTAAGGGATCTTCTTGACGACAATCCGCTTGGACAAGCCGCTTTTACAGCATGTCGACCAAAGAGCTCATGTTAGGATAGAACTCTGTGCAGCATTGCAGCTCCTACCGGTGGCTTATACGACAGAACCTAATGCGTTTCGTGAAGCGACCTGAACCCTCACACTGCGCGAGACAGTCACACACCGAAACGTCAGATTTATCAACACCTCGTACCCGGATTCTCAAGTCGTTGCGGACTCGCCCCGGATTCGTGGCACCAGGAGAACATGGGCAGTCGAGATTCGGTTGCTGGGTTCTTCCAATGTGTTGTATTGCACCCATCCTTGCACCAGAAAGAGGGGGTTTATCCCTTCCACTCCCGGCACCTATGGCGATCTGGCGATCTACAGGCCTTCTTCAGCGTCAGTTGAGGTCGCGCACCAGGTGGCACTGAAGTCTTTGAGGCCTACCAGGCATGAAGCATCTGAAGCCATGCACTTGCAGCATGATGTTGAACCACCTCGTTCAACGTTCCTGACACCAGCCAATCATGTGGGCACGCACGGAGTGACGCACCCTGCGTCAAGCATCTAAAGTCAGCCACACCCGGACTCGGACCACCGCCGAATTTCTTTGGGTTCTCACTCATGTCGGTGCCGCTGTCGTGGCAGGTGACTCTTCTGACGTCCTCCTGAACCACTCTGAACGAGCCTGTCCATCCGCGGTGCGAGGACGTGCCTGATAGAAGCGAACAAGATACTGGAAACAGCTTTTTCAGGAGTCACAGCACAATGTGGAGCTAAACTTGCTACTCAGGAGGTCGCTGTAAAGCCGTGCTATATTGCCTTATGTCGACGCTTCGCAGTGCTAGTCTCTGTGGCCCCTCACTGCAACACGCTGGTCTGGCAGTCTATTTACCTGCGTGAGAAGCGTTTCATGTACGCGGGTCGAAGGCCCCGGCAGCTCCCGCGAGAAAATGATGGCCCGGTGTGAAGCCCTGGGAAAGGTTGTGTTCCAAAACTGGGTCTTGCACTCTCATGGAAATCAGAAGGACGTCAGAAGAGTGACGCAGGGTAAGCCGGATAAGCGGCATATCCGGCTGCTCGTGCAATCTTCGTGCATCCGTTGGAAAGGTTTACTTTCCTTGAAAATCAAAGGCAAACGTGGTCAAGGACTTCGAAGCCTCAGAGCACTTCAGCCCACGGGTTTCTTCGAACAGTTCCTCCATTCCACTCACATCCAGCATCTCCGAGGTTCCGTCTGCTGCTCTCATGTGGCACAAGTTTAACCATGCGCATACCTTCCGGGAAGGATCCTTCACACCTGCAATCCCACAGCTGCAAAGTGGCAGACCCTGCTGAACTCGGCCCAATGTAGCGGCCAGAGGACTCAGACTTCGACGAACTCTTCGGCTGGCTTCAGACTACGATTCACGGCTGTTGCCTCCAATGCCGAGAGCTATATATTTTTATGTTTTTTGCTTATATATATATATATATATACATATATATATATATATATTTACATAGAGATGCATAAATAATTGACTTCCCAAACTCCAAAATCAAGAACAACCCTTCCCGACCTGGTTCATCTTCCAGGCCCTCAGCCATGTCCCGCGTGGGATGGTCATCTGTCGCGCGGCGGGGCATGGGGGCTCTGGGCAACCCCAAGTCCCGAAGCTGGAGCTGAGCTCCTCGTGTTACATACCGTGAGATGAGGCGCTGCTGTGCCATCCAAGCCACGCCAAACAAGCTGCCTACAAACCTCCACCTCCACCCTCTGCAACCTTGCTTCCAAAAGCACCAAGCTTGCCATCCAGCCTGGCGAGCAGCCCAGCGCATCTCCAAGTAGAACAAGGCGTCGATTGCATCGTAAGACTCCTAGCTTTGAGGAGCGTCACTTGTATTGACGGGGTTTGGGTGTTGTAGGTGGCTAGTTCAGGCTGAACCTTTGGACTATGTTACACGTCTTGAGGTTCAGAGTCCGCCCTTTTGTATGGTCTCTGTGCAGACCACCACTCGTCATAGTGTGCATACTTGTAGGCTTTGCCCTGGTGGAGCCTTACCAAGAAATCTTCAGAATGCAGGCATGTCGCACCGCGCAGAACTAAACCGCAGACGAATGTTACACCCCATTTCAGAACCTACATAACTTTGACAAAACTGCAATCCCGGCAATGAGAACTTCAAGGTCTTGACATCCCCTCAACGAAATCACCTACAACGTCCTGAAACCATCTGGAATCCTAGGCAGCAAATGGCGCATCGTACAAGCCGATTGCTCTAACCCGCCCGCTGCTCCTCCAGGAAACGTGCAAAGGTCTCGATGCCCTCGTGCTCTGCCCGGTGGAACTCGACCTCATGCCAGCTTTAGCCAGCCGTCTGTCTTTAGCATCAAATTGACATGAACAATATCGGTAATCCTGGAAATATTCGTAGGACTTGGCACCAGGTCTCACCACCTCTTCAGTCAGCTGCAGATAGCTAATAGCAAATGCTTGTCTCAATGATGCATTCGAGCACCCGTTTGTTCATGGTATGTTCATCAGGCAGTAGAAGCAGCACCCACAAAGTGCAGCAGCAGCAGCAGCAGCAGCAGAAACAGCATCAACAACGGTAGCAGCGGCAGCACCAGTAGTACCAGTAGCAGCAGTAGCTGTACCAGCACCGCACGAGCATGAGCACCACCAACAGCAACGAACACAACGACAACGACAAAGCTGCTCCTCCTCGTCCTCCTCCTCCTCCCTACTGCTACTATGCTGCTACTACTACTACTACTACTACTACTACTATTACTACTACTACGACTACGACTACTACTACTACTACTACTACTACTACTACTACTGCTACTACTACTACTACTACTGCTACTACTACTACTACTA